CACCAGAAATTCAGTGACTTTTACTAGATACCAGGAATTCAATTACTTTTACTAGACACCAGAAATTCAGTGACTTTTACTAGATACCAGGAATTCAATTACTTTTACTAGACACAAGGAATTCAATGACTTTTACTAGACACCAGGAATTCAATTACTTTTACTAGACACCAGAAATTCAGTGACTTTAACTAGACACCAGGAATTCAGTGACTTTTACTAGACACCAGGAATTCAATGACTTTTTCTAGATACAAGGAAGTCAGTGACTTTTACTAGACACCAGGAATTCAGTGACTATTACTAGACACCAGGAATTTGATGACTTTTACTAGATACCGGGAATTTGGTGACTTTTACTAGTTACCAGGAATTTAGTGACCGTTACCAGTCACCAGGAATTAAGTGTCTTTTACCAAATACCAGGAATTCAGTGACTTTTACCAGATACCAGGAATTCAGTGACTTTTACCAGATACCAGGAATTCAGTGACTTTTAAGAGTAATTAAATGCCTTCTATTAGTTACCAGCAATTCAGTGCCTTTCCCGTTATGAGAAGTTCAATGACTTTCACCAGTCGCAATGAATTCTATGACTTTCATTAGTCACCAAGAATATAGTCAATTTTCCAGTCACCAGGAATTCTGTAATTTTCACTAATTAATCAAACATGTGACACTAATAACCACTCACTATTATGTTAATTCACCGATAGTTGAAGGATGGCTACAAAGATAGTTAACAGTAGTTAACAGCCTGATAGGGTAGAGGTTCTAGTAAACATCCATGGCCTGTATGGCCAAAAACATTTACTAGAACCGAGACTACTATACAGATTTTTTTAAAATAAAGAAATTAACTAGTAAGCAAGTACTGTTCTGAACTATGAAAGAGTACTTGCCGAGTAAATGCCAAACTGTTAGTACATTAGAGACAAACCAACAAGTAGTATTACTGTCATGAATGAACAAACACTGAGTGTGAATTATATTGTTTTAACAGGAATGGGCAAAAGAACTTGATGCAAATGGAGACAAAAGTGGAATTCTTTATGGTATACCAGTCAGTGTCAAAGAGTGTGTGTATCTTAAGGTATATGTGTTAATACATTGTGACACCCTTTGCTGAGTTTAGAAAGAATTTATGTAAATGAAATGTACTATGTGTAATTCTGGATAACAGTGGTTTAAATGAAAATACTAAAACATACTACCGGATTCTGCTGTAAATTCGCCCATCCGAAAAACTGCCCTGGGCGGTTTCACAACTGGTGGGCCCTTATTTGGTGTCATCAAATATTTTTAAGGAGCTTATATTTAACACCGGTAATTGGACCACTCAAAACGAAAGAAACTATTGCAGAAGCTAATCTATAATTTTATACATTTTTTTTTCTTGCTGGATTAAAAAATAGACCGCGAATCTTTCTCCCAAAAAAATTTTTACTTATTTCATCGTAAGTGAATGATCCCGATCGCATTTTCAACGCTCAATGCTGTAGAAATGAATATCTGCCATGTTTGACCTGGAACGGTGTTCTTTGACCTGACAGGTCAAATCGCTAATTAACCAATGAAAACGATGGATGATGCCAACATGTTCAACTTACCATGATAGCTTATTTAAATATGATAATGTTATTGAACACAGCATGGAAGAGATTTGCCGATGTTGTTGTACGATCTTTTGGCTTGGATTTTGATGGGAAAGCGACACAATTTGTTTTTAAATACAGAAATAGTTGTTTTCAAAAGATGAGCATGAAGAATAATTTAACATTGTTCACAGTGATAACAGCTCTTTGTCAAAACGAAGATTACCCATTCACGCTAGTCGCAATAAACATCATACTCTTGACTATGGTGAAACTTTCAGGCATCAGAAAAGATTAAAATAACACCTTAAAAAACTGCCAAAAAATCACGATTTCTTGGTCCCATTTTATTTTTTTTTAAACCCAAACTGCCGTTTAACGGCCCAGGGCGAATTTACGGCAGAATCCGGTATGTGCAAGACATGTAGCCCATCAGTGGTGTAGATGAAACATCCTATGTGCAATTGTGGATGACATCAGTGGTGGTGTTTTTATTCTAGGGATATGACAGTCATTTTGGTATATCCAAATACATTGGTAAAATATGTACTGAAGATCATGTCATAGTTCGAGTGTTAAAAAAGGAAGGAGCCATACCATTTATGAGAACCAATGTACCACAAACTATGCTTAGGTAAGTGGTCATTATATAATTATTAAATTTGTGATAAAAACTATCATCTTCTTTTTAAAATGAATATTTTAATTAAGTTTGTGGTCTTCTTAGAATGCATATGCACATTGTTTCACAAACCAATTCAAGATAGCCAAATGATCTCTGTCATGTATATATGGATATTGTTCAAACTTTTTACATATTTTAAAAATTATGGGCCCCTGATGCAACGGCTGACTGGCAGCCATTTTATTTTCAATGAATGCTGTTCTGCAACTATATATCTCTGACATATCCCAACTGATCACATTAAAACTTTATAGATACATCATACACCACATATTTTTAGATAATTATGGAGTGAAACATCTTTTGTAAATAAATTGTGTAAGATTTAAAAAAGAGCCATTAGGTTGATGTGCAATGTGCATATTGATGAATTTCCCACAAAAATATATGTATGCTTTATAAATGCTTAATATTACAAGTTTAACCAGTAAGGATCTTTATCGTAGAAGCTTTTGCAATTGTCCATGCTAAATACTGGAAGAGTATTCAGTCAAGTACTCAAGCTTATTAAGTAGTTTTAAACATGCTTACCTCAAGGCTGATTAAAAATGGCTCTTGTATTTTTTGTTACAGTGTAAATTGTGTTGTCATATATTTTTGGCTGTTATTGTATTTTACTAACAATTTTTGTATACTATTTGAGGGTTCTGGGGGAGATAAGCTTCTATGTTGAGTCTTGTTACCTTGTTTGATGGTTGCGTTTAAGGTGGCTGAATGAAGGCCATTTTAATGTTCAAAATGCATTAAATAAATTGAACTTTTCAGGTTTTTGTTGTGATTTTGTTCCAACTTGATACATTCATTGAACATAATATTGGACCTTGATGCATATTGTTTTGCTTTTCAGATCTGATTAAAGTGATTGACTGGTGGCCATTTCCATCATCATTTCTTGGATATGCCTAAACCAATTTTGTTCAAAGTTGGTACAAAGACAAGTCATGATGAGATTCATTTGGTAGACTTTTGACCAATTGGTGGCCATTTTTGTCCCAAAAGACACCATAAATCAACATTTGAATATGTCATCAACTGTACTGTCATGTCTTGACTGAATTCATTTGAATATGGCATTGATATCACTCATATTCAGGTTATTCTTTTAGTTTCATGATTTGGTGGCCATTATTTTATTACAAGTGTTCTGCCCTTTTTTCAGAGATATTTATTTTACAAATTTAGATAAATTTGTCCAAAGGCAAGAATAAGTGGCTGAATGTTGTTTTCTGTTATTTTTGAATTTGATGAAACTGCAGTCATTTTCGTAAAAAAAAAATGTCAACTGTTACTCAGGGATACTTATGGTGATTTCATTAAACTTGCTATGAAGATCACACATGATAGGTTACTGATGTACATCAGTTTGTTTTGTGATTTTATTTAAAATGGCCAACTGGTGACCATTTTTACCAAAAAAACCACCATAAATCAACATTTGAACACGTCATCAACAATTTATCAAGCATGCCTGGACCGATTTAAATCAATCAAACTTGGTTTTGATATTACTCATGGAAGGTTACTGATGCACATCAATTTATTTTGGGAACATAATTGATTAAAAATGGCCGACTGGTGGCCATGTTGGTGTTATTAGTCCCCTTTCCAACGCAGTCCGAAAACGGGGACTTATGTTTTGACCTCCGTGTGTCCGTGTGTGTGTGTGCGTGCGTGCGTCCGGACCTGTATCTTAGAAATGCCTGGACCAAGCACAATCAAAATTCATACATACATCATACATGATATTATACATATGCACGTCAATTTGTTTCACGATCTGATTCCAGATGGCCGAATGGCAGCCATTTTTGTGCTAAAAATCATCAATATTAACCATTTCTCAGATGTTTTCTGATGGATTTTGTTCAAACTTGGTATATACATTAGACATTATAGGACCTTGATGCAAATGGCTGACTGGCGGGCATTTTGCATTAATGAATGTGGTTCTTGTGCCATATCTCTGACTTGCTTTCACTGATTATGTTCAAATTTTAAATATTCATTATACATCATGTCATAGATATACAGATATATTGGTTTGACGATACTATTCAAAATGGCCAAATGGTGGCCTTTTTTGTGCTAAAATATCATCAAATATCAAGCATTTAAGGATGGATTTCGTTCAAACTTGGTACATACATTAGACATTACCGGTTCCTGATACTCGTCATTTTATTTTTCAGATTGGATTCAAAATGGTGGACTGGCGACCATTTTGTTTTAATGAATTGGCTTCTAGAGCCATACCTCTTAAATGCTTTGACTTATTATATTTAAATTTTTATATATTCATTATACATCATGTTATATATATATAAATGTATTCAAAATGGCTGATTTTGAATGCTGTTCCAGAGCAATATCTCTCAATATGGACAAGTACTTGTTTGACGAGCAGATACAAATGTCAATCATTTTAATGTTAAAAAATCATATTCCTGACATGGTTATATACCAGCTATATTACTATAAACAAAACTATATATCTTAAATTTGATAACTAACGGGGACTTTGCCATGCATGGCTTGTTTTCATGTTGTTTTAATCTTTTCTTAGACATGCTTTGACCGATTTTTAGTATACATTGGCATGTTCATTTGTTTTTGTTCTTATTTACTCATATTTTCAAACTTGTATGAACATATTATAGTACAGTTCAGATGTTCTACAGACTAACAGTCAGGATGCGAATATAGTCTGACCTGCTTAACCACGACAGAGGAGATCAACAGATTGCTTGTTATGTCCTTTAATAACTATTGAGTTACTTCATTATATTCCCTAACAGTTTTAGTTGTAGTAACCCAGTATATGGAGAGACATTGAATCCACACGATTGTGAACGATGTCCCGGTGGTTCTTCTGGAGGTGAAGGTGCTCTAATTGGTATGCATGGATCACAGATTGGAATTGGTTCCGACATAGCTGGAAGCGTACGTGTCCCGGCACACTTTTGTGGCATTTGTTCCCTGAAACCAACAAAAAACAGGATAAGGTCAGTTTAATATCATTATTATAGTTCAACCTGTAAACAACTTCACAATTATCAGAGGATTTCCTTGATAGAGTCAGGGGAAATCATTAACATATCGTGAGCAATAACATTTTTACTGGAGTTCTTAATTTAGACGCAGAGTGGCTTCAGTAAAAATCTTGCTAATATCATTTCAATTAGATTTTTCCTAAATATGAGTGAATATTTCTCAATAGAGTGTCATTTCTGGTTTTACCTTTTCACCACCAGACTCGGCACTTTTTTCTTAAATTTCTTGAATATTTCAGAAAATGAACCCTAATTTTGGAGCCAATAGACAAAATTTTGGTAAATTTTTAGTTTTTATTCAAAAAATTTGGCCATACTTGTCCCAATCTTATAAACAGGACTATTTTGTGAATTTGTGATGAAAAGAGGAAACTGTGGTGAAAAGGTTAAGAGATAATCAAAAATGATGTTATTTAAATATTGACTGCAAAAATTGACATGATTTTTCACTGTCATCTGACTTAGCCGTTTCAACAGGGAATTTCATGCTTTGTGTAATAACAAAATATATTTTGTATTTGCTTAGTGAACAAGGAGAACCGTCAGTTATTGGTGGTCAAAAAGGTCGTAAGTGAAAAATTTTAATTTATCTCAATCAATATTTAAATTATTTTTTCATTAAAGTTGAGAACATTTTTATTAATTGCAATTTGGGTAAATTTGTTTTCTTTGTTTTGGATGCACAATTATTATTTGTATTTTGAAATTATTGGTTTTCAAGGACGTTTCTGCCATTCTTTTTAAACACACCTAAAACAAATGCAAATGATTTTGAATCTAAATGGTAATTTGGACAACACCAATTTAATTTCACTTCAGTTAGCTCCAGCAACAGCCAAGGTTGGAATTCCTAGTACAAGTCAATAACTCACTATTGGAAGCTTTGGTATTTATAGCCATGTTGAATATTTTGCTTTTAGTATCTGGACTCAATGGTGTAATGGCTCGTGATGTTGATGGTGTGGTTTTAACAATGAAAGCTTTGTTAACATCTGAGATGTTCAGACTTGACAGTAGTCTTCCTCCTATTCCGTTCAATGCAAAGGTTTGTGTATCTTAAAACTGGATTTGTTGTAAAAATGTTTTTCTTATTTATCTTTCTTCTTTCATAATTTATATTATCCTTTTAGTGCCAAAACTATTTGTTGCCACCTTTCACAAAATAAAACACAATTATTAAAAACATAGTATATAATTTTGTCAGGTAAAATTATGGCACCCAAAGACCAAAGTCTTGTTTTATTATATGCCAGCCATAGTTAAAAATTGTATGATGTTGACCACTGTTATCCTTAGGGTTTCAAAAATGATCAAGTTTCAAAAATGATCAAGTTTCAAAAATGCCTAAACTGCTAAAAATGTAAGCTTTTCCCAGCCCAAGCACGGGTTTCAAAAATGTCAAATGTTCATTTCAAAAATGATCAAGTTTCAAAAATGTCAAACATTGTAATACATTTCCGACGATCATTTTACTTTTCAAATGTGCACTACACCATACAGATACATGTGTTAGATATTTACATGTTTTATCTCAATAATATCAAACATGTATATTAGTCTGCTATTGGTCGTACCTCAAGTCTGGTATTACCATTTGGTATTGCATAATTCACTCCATATATGGACTCATCTAAGTTATTGCTTAAATATTGAAGTACAATATTTATATTCATTCAGAAATTTTCAGATCAAAAGGTTATGAGAGTTGGTTACTATGACGATGATGGTTACTTCACCCCTGTTCCTGCATGTAGACGTGCTGTGTCTGTGGCTGTAGAGGCTCTCAAATCAAGAGGACATACGGTAGGATTTTATAGCAAATATAAATTTAGTTTTGTTATTGCTGAGATACCTGTTTTTATTGAATCAGTAAGTGTTTTTCCTTCGCAGTTAATTCCCTTCAACATCCCATTGCTTAGTGGTGATAATAATGATGAAGAGGATGATACAGCTGGAAATCATGTATTTGAACTTTTGCATGCAGACGGAAACAAAGCCTGGCTCTCTCACCTGTAAGTTACAAATTGTCTCAACTGTTTTTGTTTGCTGCAACCATGGCGATGTTTTTAACATTATTTCTCATTTCAGAGAGGGAGAAGCAGTTGATAAACACTTGTCAACACAGTTACGATACTCCATTCACCCATCATTTAGTAGAAGATTACGCCGGCCTTTCATGGTAAGGTTTATTTATCTCTGTTGTTGTGTCTCCATAACACTATGCATATATACACACCATAGATATCTGCATTATATCATATTAGGAAACAAATATGGAACACCAAAGTGGTTATGTTTCATCTCATAGTTCTTAGCAACAAAGGTCAACTAATTTTCCTAACCATTCCCAGTTTTGGGCTTCATGCACCAAATTAGTTTGCAAGATGTATAATATTTGTGTTCTAATGAAGAAGCCAAAAATAAGATTTTGATTCCCATTCTTGGGATATTGTTGAGATTTACATTATCACAAAAACAGGATATATGTTAAGCATTGAACATCTATTAAATAATGTTTTTAAAAACATGAATTAAAAGTTTACTTGGATCAACAAAGCATTCTCTGAAATAAAAAACAAACATTTCTTCATGCTATCATATGCGACGCAATTCACTGGTTCACTGTTGTGCAAAATTGCAACAACAAAAATGTGTGAGACGCAGGTTTTAAACTGACATGATGACAAGAAGCAAAAACTTGTTTTTGGTCTGCAAAAATGTATGATTGTAAAGTTTCAACTCATTATTAAATAAATTTGTAAGTACATGTATGCTGTCTGTCTGGTAGTTCTTATAAGGCAATCCAATACATTTATCATTTGTGTGGACAGATTGTGTTAAAATAAATATTGTTAAATTTAAATTGTCATTTATTAAATTGCTCCAGTCTAGACGAATGTTAAATTATTATGAGGCATGCTGCAGTGGAGATAAAAGTACTTCTCAGATATGGTCTGATTACAAGAAACTTACTGTGAGTTAATCTTTATGCTTAACCATTTCACCACCTGTTCCCTTTTCCCATCACAAATTCACAAAATAGTCCTGTTTATAGTCTGCAATTTCTTTCAGAAGATTGGGACAAAAATATTTACATTTTTTAAGTAAAAATTGATTCAAGTTTTATCTGTTGGCTTACAAATTAGGATTCATTTCCAGAAATATTGAAGAATTTAAGAAAAAAGTGCTGAATAATTTGGGTGAGAAAGTCTGGTGGGGAAAAAGATTAATGTTCACTGTTTGATGATGGATTTTTTTTTGGAAATGTGATTTATATGCAATTTTATGTTATGATTTGTTAGCTTTTGTTATAGCCAAATTTGGCTGTTATTATGTACATTTACTACCATCAAAGATGTTGATGCATATTGACAGATGTATGTGATAATAAAGATATATATAAATAGATAAGGTCCATAGTGATATGTGATGTAGATATACATTGACTATCAATAAAACCACACTGTGCAATGTTAATGCTTGTCATAGATTGAATTCAACCTCTATCCATGCATTCACCAATCCAGACTAATGTTTTGTACATATCCATACTAATTGTGTTCACAAATCATCAATGACTTGTTGTCTTCTCAGGAATATTTCTCTAAGTTTGTGAGTGCATGGAAGGATGCTAATATTGATGTACTTATTGGTCCTGGATTTGGTATAACTGCATGTTCTAATAAATATGCAGCAAAACTTTTTTGTAAGTTGTTGATGTTGCTGTACAAACCTCTATTCAATCAACTTTTTACTAAAAATAAAGATCTCATGAAATGTCCTAATGTGAATATTAACTACAATGTATATGCCTTTCTTGTCATTCAAACTTCAAATTAGTTAATATATTGATTGTTCAAAATCTACTTTCAACAATCAGGATAACCTGTACATGTACCTCCCAAAACCTGCCAAAATGTTAATACAAGATAATTTCCCATTGAGCGTCAAATTTAACTTTCGGCACAATTCACATAATTAAATATGTTTCATTATTCACAGATTTTTTTCAAAGAAGACCTGTATTAGATATGAAACTATATCCGATTGGTCCAAAATGATATAAAAGAAAAATACTTAAAAATAGGGAAAAAAATGTTGCACTAAATTACAGTTTAAAGTGATTGTTAGTCTCCCTCTAATGTAGTACTAAAACAAGGACCTGTGTGTGTGTTCGTTTAACATGCCCTGGCTGATTTTGTTCAAAGCAACTCATGATAATGATTACATATATGCACATTGGATAGTTTTTTTTTCATTTTGGATTATTTGACTAGCAACCATTTTTGTCCAAACAAAACCATTTGAAGATGCCATCAATCTTTTCTCATGCGGACATGGGTCAATTCAATCTTGTGATTCACATCACACATGATACATTGTTGTTTTGTTTGAAATGGCAAATTTGACATTAAAATGGTTTAATCTATAGTTGAGTGTCTAGAAATTTTTTTACTGATATGATTTTTCAAATTTCAGTCAAACTTGATAAGACACTGCATACCAAGTTACGGATTTTAATTCGATTTCTCAGATTAAAAATTTATTTTGTATGATTTTGAATATTAAAGACTCTACTAACATATTGATGGCTTCGAGACTCTATGTAATGTACAATTACTAGTATGTGTCTTTAATAGGTCTAGCTGGTACAACTGCAATCTACAATATACTAGATATCCCAGCAGGCACTGTTCCTGTTACCCAGGTAACACAAGAAGATGAAGATAACTTAGCAACCAGGTTTGAAGTTAAAGATGAATGGGACAGACTGGCTAAGGAGGTAAAATGACTTTACATTGATAACCATGAAAAGCTTTAGTTACCTTGCAAAGAGATTGAACTTTTTTTTTGCTCATGTGTTGTATTTTTCTCAATTGGTTTCTTCTACAGATTTTGATGAAGTTCTATTAATTGTTGTTTTGTTCGTTTGTTAGTTTTTTCATACCTAGACTGTAGCCACTATGCACTTTTTAAATGCAGTATGGCTGTAATGTGATAAGCAAATATGTCAGTCAGAACTATTATATATATATATATGTGGAGCTTTTATTGTGAATATGGACAATTTTAGCAGTGTCCATGTTATGTACTTTTGTTTTCAACCTGTGAGTCATGCCTATGAATTTTCGGAAATATGCTCAAAATAAGTCCTGCTTAGAGCGCATTGGTTTGCTGTAATATGGCTGGATATAATGTGAGTGTTGATGCAAGAGCTGGCTACTTTTATTACTTTTCACTTTGTAATGGGTCTGGGCAGATTGGTACATTCTGGTAGATAAAGTAAACATGGTGCCCTCCTATGTATTCCAATAAGATAAATATGTTTTTTGTGATTGTATTATTTGTGACTGCTTATTTCTGCGCACCCTTTTTAATGTCAATTCAGAGATAATTGTGTGTCCTAATTGAAACATAGTAATTTGGTGATCTCAAGTTCTCCTGACAGTATTTACTAGTTGAAAATGCTACTGTTATGTGTATAAAACTTAATTCTTTTTAGGGGGTGCCAGCCGCTATGTAAATGAGTGGTATGCTTTTAGCAGCTCCCTTAACCTTCTCTTAACTGTCTCTTACCAGCCGCTATGTAAATGAGTGGTGTGCTTTTAGCAGCTCCCTTAACCTCCTCTTAACTCCCTCTTACCAGCCGCAATGTAAATGAGTGGTGTACTTTTAGCAGCTCCCTTAACCTCCTCTTAACTCCCTCTTATAGCCGCTATGTAAATGAGTGGTGTGCTTTCAGCAGCTCCCTTAACCTTCTCTTAACTCTCTCTTACCAGCCGCTATGTAAATGAGTGGTATGCTTTTAGTAGCTCCCTTAACCTCCTCTTAACTCTCTCTTACCAGCTGCTATGTAAATGAGTGGTGTGCTTTTAGCAGCTCCCTTAACCTCCTCTTAACTCCCTCTTACCAGCCGCTATGTAAATGAGTGGTATGCTTTCAGCAGCTCCCTTAACCTCCTTTTAACTCTCTCTTACCGGCCGCTATGTAAATGAGTTGTGTAATTTTAGCAGCTCCCTTAACCTCCTCTTAACTCTCTCTTACCAGCCGCTATGTAAATGAGTGGTATGCTTTCAGCAGCTCCCTTAACCTCCTCTTAACTCTTTTACCAGCCGCTATGTAAATGAGTGGTCTGCTTTTAGCAGCTCCCTTAACCTCCTCTTAACTCCCTCTTACCAGCCGCTATGTAAATGAGTGGTATGCTTTCAGCAGCTCCCTTAACCTCCTCTTAACTCTTTTACCAGCCGCTATGTAAATGAGTGGTCTGCTTTTAGCAGCTCCCTTAACCTCCTTTTAACTCTCTCTTACCGGCTGCTATGTAAACATTCTCATATTAGTGAGCATATGACATGTACATGTTACAACAACAGTGTCGCTAAATTGTTTGGTTGTTTTTGACTGATTGCGTTTTTGTGTGTGTTTGACTTATTTGTCGTACAATATTAGATGCAATATTATCTATGGATCTTCCACTTCTGTATTACAGGCATGTACTGGATCTGTGGGAATCCCCGTTGGAGTGCAGTGTATCGCTTTAAAATGGCAAGAAGAACTTTGTTTAAAACTAATGAAGGAAGTGGAAGAAGGTGTCAAAGCAATCAATAACAAAGTTATTTAAATGTAAATAATGTTCACAAATAACATTTTAAAATGATGCATGTTCTGAGTTTGTAAATTGTGGAGCATTAATGTTTACTTTTTATGAAAATGTAGAATTTATTTTAAAATTTATATACATAACCAGATTATTTATTTTTATCAGGGTTTTAATATAATCCAATTTAACTGAGATCTATTTTTTTGCTTTTGAGTTTATTTTTTCTTTTCTTCACTTAATTAACTTATGTTTTTAATGTAAAAGTTGTTGAAATTGCATGATGTCCAAAATCCAATCAGAGTACACAATGTCTTAAAGTGAAGCAGAAAGCTGATCATATGTATGTGAGTGGGTAACTAGTAAAATCTGTTATGACACAATATATAAAGCATACTTCTAATATATGCCACTGACATCCAACCAAATATAAAGCACTGATTGAGAAGCACCTTTGTTTTTGACAACTGGGTGCTTTAGCAGTTTGGGAGAGATCAAAATACTGCAACAGTTCCAGTCGTAACACTCAGTAGAAACATAAAATCTTCTAATTAAATGTTATCAAATGTACATTACTTGGGGTTTGCAACGCGCACAGTACTGTATGGTGACATCATCATGCCAAGATCCCATTCAAGTCTCATCTCGTAGATGGCGAGACTAATGCTACAACCTTCTGACATGACATAGGCGGTTTGTATTAAATAAAACAATAAAACATGTATTACTACATTCATAGTGAAAAAATGTAATACATCGTAAATGTACAGAAAATATAGTTATTGTAATCCTTCATATCGTGAGCAGCTATTTTGATCGTAGTCCGGGACTGTGTTTTGATCTACCTGGACATCCCAGTATCCTAGTTACTTCAGGCATGCACATTCGCATTTTTCTGAGTTGGAACGCTTATGCGAGAGCACAATTGAAACGGGATCTTGGTATCATGTCACCGTAGATGCAAACCCCATGTAATGTACCTCTGATGTTATATTGAATGCGAATATCAATACTGAGTACAGAGGTACATGGTATGGGTAAACTAGATGAAAAATGAATAAGTAATAATAATAATAATAATCTTTATTGATAAACGTATCCTTAATTGAGATATGGTTCATGATACAATAAATTTAAATGTTGAAAGTTAAAAATAGAAAAATAAAAAATTTGAGAGAAAAAAAAGAGTGACTCTGTTGTAGCAGTGGTACCAATCTACTAGTCTGGGGAGAACCCTTTGAGACACTGTTTTGATTCTCTGCTTAGTGAGCATCCAATGTGAAAGGATGCTCGCTTTCCAAGTACAGTTGACAAGTTATGCCAAGTATATCTTGACCATCCTGCGACTTATGCAGACTTTTTGTGTAAAATAATACTATCCACAAAAAGTGACCTAAGATCACCAAGTGAGTGACCTCACTAGCATTCACATCCAGCCTTGTAGTCTACATGTTTGTACTTTAAAATAATATTTGTAACTGACTAAAGTTTGATCACTTGCTGGTGGTAATGTGCAGACCAATCAAGCCATGCCTGTTCATCTTTATTTTTCAACCTATTAAATCATAGCTTACATTGATACTTCAGTTCAAAATGAAATCACACATTATTTTACTTAATGTGTCTTCACTTTGCATGACCAATGGCACCACTCAATTGCCTATTAATGTTTATAGTTTAGCGAGTTGTTCTATTTACTGTAAGGGAAAGTCAAGTGCTAGTGTGTTTTTAATCCGATTGAGATAATTTTGTCTTTGATGAGTGTAACAACCATGCTATCATTTACCTCTGCAGCATATAAACATTCCAGAACAAGCAGTATCACCTCCATTATGTTGTACATAAAGAATAGTTGTTACCTGTACCTAACAATTAGTTCTGAACAGAAGGATTCTGTTTAGTAATTGGCTTCTTTCTGTATTTTATGATCAATTTTTGATGAAACTTGGTGCATAGATGCTCTTCGCCAATGCGCAGATTTGATTAGGTTTTGGTAGAAATCCATGCATATTAATTATCTTATTTGCATGATAATTAGCTAATTTTTTGCTGTTCCATGACCTTTTCCACTGATATCTAAAGAACCACTCATTGAATTTTGATGAAACTTGGCACATAGATGCTCTGAACTAATGCCAGGTTTTGATTAGTTTTGGGTGAAAATCTGTGCATATTAATTACCTAATTTGCATGAAAATTAATAAATTTCTGGCTTTTCCACTGATATTTCAACTACTAATCATCACATTTCAATGGAACTTGGTACATAGATGTCATAGGACACTGCACAATTAAACCTGGTAGTTTTTAGGGTAATATCAGTACATATTGATTACCTAATTTGCATAATTTAATTTTCAGCTTTTGATATTTTAAGTAGTAAGCATTACATTTCAATAAAACATGGTACAGATACTCATGGACTATACAGAGATTGATTGTTTTGGGATAAATATTTGCATAATTAGTTATTTTTTGGCTTTTCCACTGATATCTCAATGAAACTTTGTACATAGATACTCTAGGACTATACAGAGACCTGATTAGTTTTGGGGTAAATAATTGTGCATATTAATTACCTAATTTGCATAATTAATAAACTTTAAGCTTTCACACTGATATCTAAAGTACTAATTATTCCATATCAATGTAACTTGGTACAAAGATGCTCTAGGACAATGTACAAATCTGATGAGTTTGGTTAAAATTTGTTCATATTTCCCTAATTAGCATAATAATTCATAATTTTTTGGTTCTGATCACATTCCAATGAAACTTGGTACATAGATGGTCTGTTACATTGTGCAGACCTTATTAGTTTTACACTCAAATCTGTTCATTTTCTGATTTGCATAATTAGTTTTCAGCTTTTCCATCAATATCTCAAGTAC